ACCCCCAGCAGGGCACCACCCCCAGCAGTTCCCTGGCACAGCCTCACCTGGCATTCATCTCCACGGCGTTGTAGCCGGCGTGCTTCGCCACCACGTGGGCCAGCGTGGTCTTCCCCAAGCCCGGTGGGCCACAGAGCAGGGCTACCTGCAGGCAGAGGGGCAAGGTCAGCCCTGCTGGCAGCCAGGCTGGGCTTCCTCCAGCACCCACCAAGGCTGTTGGGCACCTGCCCCAACCCCTGGGGGCTGCTGCAGATACACGGCGAGCAGGGAAAGTCTTTGGAGGAGGGAGAATGCAACAGAAACCCTCAGAGGTGACAAGAGTCACCTCCCACGTTTGCAGGGCAAGAGGCAGAAATGGCTGAGGAGATCCCCTTTCCAGGATTACCCTCCTGAAAACCAGTGCTGGTGGTACCTGGTTTTGTTTCCCCTTTTTTCACCCTCTCCCCGGACAGACTGAGGCTGGTAAGCTGGCCTGGGGATGTTATGGATGCAGAAATTCCACCTCAAAGGCATGTCACATCTGCCCCCAACAAAAAAGTCAAGCCCAATCTCTGCCAAAAAGGGTGAGTCTCTCCTCAGCCAGCCCGTTTCATCTGGCTGGAGAAAGTGTGTTCCTCTCCATTTGTTACCACACAGTCAAGCCAAAACAGAAGAAGAAATGAGAAAACCCCACATTTGTTAAGAAGAAACAAGAAATCCAGTTTCCTCTGGTTCTGTACTGGGAGACTCTGCCCCTCACCATGGTGGCAAGATGAAAACTGGAGAGGAGAACCACTGCAGGGGCATCCTGTCCTGCTCACCTTGTATTTTGGTCTCTTATACTGGTCCAGCTCAGCCTCCAGAATCTCCTCTGTGAGCTGCACCTTCGTTTTCCACTTACTCTGCTGCTCCTTGGGCTGGCTGAATTGATGACGAGCTTCAGTGCTGGGCTTGGCCTTCTTCACAGCCTTCTCCTTCCCAAACACCACCGTGTCCCAGAGCTTCAGCCACTTCAGAAGGCAACGGTTTGTGTACTGCAGGTCAGGGGAGAAAACAAGCAAAACCCATCAAACCTCAGAAGGACCTGGCTGAGGACAGAGGAAGACCTCTCCTTCATGGCTTAAAACCCAGCGTGGCCTGCAGAGGAAGGGGCCAAGGCCAGGGAGGCAGCACAGAGTGTCTGCCCAGACAGACCCTGAGCACAGCACACGAGCCCTCACTACAGGAGAGGCTGCCCAGGTTTCCACCTGGCATCTCTGGAACAGCCTGGGGATACACCTTCCCTGCCCAACTTGGCCACTATCCTGTGGGGCAACCAAGGACAAGTCACATTGGCCCCATCGCTGCTGTCCTTCATCTGCCTCAGCTCAGCCTTCACCATAACAAGGACATGGAGGGGCTGGAGTGTGGCCAGAGAAGGGCAACGGAGCTGGGGAAGGGTCTAGAGCCCAAGTGTGGGGAGGAGCAGCTGAGGGAGCTGGGGGTGCTGAGCCTGGAGCAAAGGAGGCTCAGGGGAGACCTTCTGGCTCTGCACAGCTCCTGACAGGAGCCTGGAGCCAGGGGGGGGTCGGGCTCTGCTCCCAGGGAGCAAGGGACAGGACAAGAGGAAACAGCCTCAAGTTGCCCCAGGGGAGGTTGAGGTTGCCCCTGAGGAACAATTTCTTGCCCTTGAGGGTTGCCCAGGGCTGTGCCAGGCTGCCCAGGGCAGTGGTGGAGTCCCCACCCCTGGAGGGGTTTCCAAGCTGCGGAGATGTGGTGTGAGGGACACGGGGCAGTGGGGACCTGGCAGGGCTGGGGAATGGTTGGACTCAATGTTTTTAAAGATCTCTTCCAACCAAAATGATTCTACAATTCTAACTCCACTCTCCTCAGCCTCTTCCATAATTTCCAATTCCCTACAAGGCATCTAATATTAAAAAACCCATCAAAATAGCCAGCAATTCCTGGCTAAAGTCCACTCAATCTTTCTTGTCTTATTCTCATCACCTTTCATAGTCTCTTTTGTCAGGAGATCCAGACCCTACACCTGTAAAACCCCCACCCCATGCTCTCGACAGCAGAACTGCCCTGGGCAGAGCTAGAACAGGCAGAGAACCCCAGCCAGTGCTTCCCAAAGCCCCACGATCAGAGGCAGCACCACAAAACCTCGAACCCACAGCACTGAGGAAGAGCTATAAAGGTGGCAAACCCCCATCCCCCCTCACCCTAGCACCTCACATCATCGCTGAGCAGCTCCACGTAGCGCCGGGGAGTGAACTTGTCCACCCAGAGGCAATGCAGGGCAGACTCCTCCCCATCTGCTGGACCTGCTTCCCCACTGGGCTCCTGGCTCTCAGTGCTGGCCACGCTCTCGAGGCAACTGCAAGAAAGGATTAACTTGCCCCAAACCATGCAGGGAGTCGGGGCAGGGCTGGGATTCACACCCAGACTTCCCAAGCTGGGGATGCTGAGGGGCAAAGAGGCTGCTGGGCTTGTAGGTGTCCAAAGCTTGGATCTCACCATCCTGGGAGCTGCATCCAACAGGGCAGCAGGGAGGGGGGTGGGATTTTGTCCCAGCATCTCACCTGTGGATTATCTCTGTCAGCTGCTGTGATGCCTCCAGGACGTGCCTGCGCCGCTTGAGCACAAAGAGGGCGAGAGGGAGGTCAGGGACTCAGGAGCTAAACGTGGCTGCCCAGGGGCGGCAGGGGAAGATGGAAAGGTGGGTCTAAAGGTGTGATACCTCTTCATCCACTTGTTCCTTCAGGTAGGAGAAAGGCACCCCCAGCAAGTGGAGCGGCCTGCGTGCGTTCCAGCCCAGGGAATCGGGGAGCTGTGAGGAGCAGAGGGCACACACTGGTGTTCATACTGATGTTCAGCACAAACACCCCATGCTTCATCAGCAATCCACTCCCCTGGAGGTCACAGAGAAGCAGCCCCAGCCTTCAGATCCCTCCTTACCTCCACCCCTGTCCTGGAGGGATCATCCCTCACAACCATGAAGACTCTGGTGCCCTTGGTAGATGTCACATTGATGTAGTCCTCCAGGACAGGAGGCCGCTTCAGGACCCACTTCTTCTGGGAGGGTGGTGTGGTCTGCAGTGGGGCCATGCCACTCACCTCCAGGGTCCTTCAGCAGGGGCGTGGGAAAGGGCTCTTGAACCCCACCAAAGGTTCAGGGGCCCTGCCAGGTTGCAGGGGGTTCAAGGGCCCTTTCCCTCTCACTAAAAGTGAGGGTCAAGGTGTCCAACCTGTCAGTCTGGGGAGTGGAAGGTGCCTCCGGACCCGCATCCCAGAGGGCATCAGGAGCCAGCTCGTCATCCTCTCCAAAGCTGAGCTTCTTAACAGCCTCTTTTTTCTTCGGCTTCGGGGCTGAGCGGGACAGGAGGGCAGGAGGAAGAGGAGAAGCCCCGTTGGCCGGAGGGTGGTACTCAGCCGGGAGCGGGCTCAGCAGCACCCCCCGGGGCTGCAGACCCGGCCTGGGCCCAACCTACTGCGGGCTGCGGGCGACGGCGGGACGCTGCCCCGGTCCCGCTTCCTGGGGTTGGGGTCCCCGGGGCTG